GTGTCAGAATCTTTAGACAGGTCTAAGAAAAGTGCAGCACAATAATCTTTAGCATCCAGTGCTTCAACAACATCATTAAGAACCTTCAGTGAAGCAGTGGTTGTGCTGTGTCATTTCCTGAAACCAGATTGATGTGGAGGTAAGATGTTAAATGAGTCCAGGTCATTTTTGATTTGAGAGTTTATCAGTTTTTCTAGAACCTTGGCTAAAATGCAGAGTTTAGAGATTGGTCCATAGTTGTTCAGTGAGGGGGGGTCTCCTCCCTTCAGCAAAGAAGAACAAAGGCTGTTTTCCAAGCGTCTGGGATGGAGTTTTGTCTTATGGAGAGATTGAAGATGTGGGTCACAGGGACTGTGATGATATGAGCAGCCAGCCTTAAGACCTGCAGATTTTTTAGGATCAAGATCTTTTAACAGTTTATTGACCTCACTGACTGAGAATGGAGAAAAAGAGAAGCTGTGATTAACTGAGGATTGACTTGTAGGAGGGATTTGATTTGTAGAAGTTTGGTTATTAAGTGAGGTGGCTGATCTTCCATTAGTTACTGTGTCAAATAAAGAACTAGAAGCAACAAAATGTTTGTTGAAACAGTTCAGGATCTCGTGCTTATTTGGCACAGGAACAGAGTTAACGAGAAGTTGTGATGGGAGGTCAGATGATTGGGGGGTGCCTGAGAGAGATTTAATGGGTTCCAGAATCTGTTAGGGTCATTTAGATTTTTGGAAGTCTGAGATAAGAAATAGTTGCGTTTTGTAGCTTTGACAGCAGTTGTGAATTTATTCCTCATCTGCCGAAAACTCAACCAATCAGTGTCTGAGTCAGATTTTCTCGCTGCGGCCCAAAGATGATCTCTCCTGTGCAGGAGGTCAGCTAGCTCTGGAGTAAACCAGGGGCTGTCTCGTCCCTTTATTCTGAACTGACGAAAAGGAGCATGTATGTTCAGGAAATAAATGAAATTATTATGGAAATAGTTCCAAGCAGAGTTCACATCATCAGTTAACAGAATACGATGCCAGTCAAAGTGAGACAGATCCCAGAGGAATGACTGTTCACAAAAATGTTTCAGATCCCTTTTTTTAATTAATCTGGGCTTAGAAGGTGGAAGTTTACTATTTCTTAAAGCCGCTGTCACACAATGATCACTCAAAAGATCAGCGAATACACCTGTACCAGGGAATTTGTGAGGCATATTAGTTAGAAACAGGTCTAAGATGGAGGAATTGTCAGGGTGGCTTTTATTGAATCTAGTGGGGGAGTCGATCAGTTGGGTTAAATTAAAAGACAAGCAACATTCCTTGAATGTGTCACAGAGGGGGGTCGACTTACACCAATCAATGTTAAGATCTCCAGCCAAACAGACCTCTGTGAATTTTAAATTACCAAGGAATTCCTTGATGGCAGGTAATGCCTCAGGTGAAGCTGTGGGGGGGCGGTAGCAGCAGACTACAGTTAAGATCTGGCCTCCATTCAAGATGATGTTTACAGATAAGACTTCAAACTGATTTGAATTGTTTTGGAAGACACAAGACTTGAAACCAGAGAATCTCTAATGTAAATAATGACTCCACCCCCCCTTTTTTGACGATCACAGCGGTAGATGTTAAATCCATTGATTGCCACGTCATTATTCATTACAGATTTGTTGAGCCAGGACTCAGAAATAAAGATAACATCAGCCCCAGAAGAACTGACCAGGATTTTCACAGCATCAAGTTTTTTCAGAAGGCTACAAGCGTTTACATGCAGAAAATGAAGCCCAGAGGCGTTTTTAAAGTCATTTGGTGTGCTGTAATTAGTCGGGGGTCCAGGGTTGGGCTGAATCCCTGAGAGCAGTAACAACATTATTATCAGACATTTTCTTGAGTTTTTTGTGACTGATGTGTAATTACAGGAGTTAACAGTGTGACAATTAGCCCCATAATCGAACCATGAGAAACATTAATGAAGACGTGATCATTCAGAACCCAAAGACAGTGAAAGTTGCAGTGATGGACAGATTCAGGTGTATCAACAAGATTCAGTGACTCCAGATAGTCTGAGAACTGAAAATAGTGACAGTAATATGAATGATGCAGAAAAGTTTCAGACCATAAAACGTCACAGTTCAAATGGGCAAACAAACCCGACGAGGTGGCCCAACTGCAGTTTGAGTTGGGCTGAGGGGGGCTCCGGCCCCCCAGTAAAGAAGGATGGATGGATGCTCCCATGAGAAACAGAAGCTGGGTCCAGAATCAACAGGCCGAAACAGAGACAGATAATTTGCAGCAAATAGCAGAGCGAGCTGCCAGAAAATCCTCCTGAAGTGAAAGGCATGATCCTAGCTCGTTTCAGGTCAACAGGGGCCAACAGTGTGATCCGGAATAAAATTAATTATTATCCAGGTGAGTTTAGATGGAGGCCTGCAGCAGCTCTGATACAAACTTCGAACTTCACTCGAGCACCACGCAGCCCTGCTCTTCCACGCTGCTCCTTCACGCTGCTCCTCCGCTTCTCAGCACCCGACAGCACGGGGCACCCCCGGTGAAAAGCGAGACTGACCGGAGAGGCTGAGGCTGAAGTCGGCAACTGGTCCGGTCCGGTTCTGCTCCAGTTCGGCTCCGGCGCTCCAAGCACGAGAGACGAAGAGGCTGAAGATATCCCTGGCCGGTTCTGCTCCGGTCCGGCAGCCCAGTCTGGCAGCACGGTTCTGCTCCGGTCCGGCGGCGCTTCAAAGCACCGGAGCGTCTCCTCCAGGTGAACACAGCGACTCCACGGAGGTGGATCGTCTTTCAGTAAAAGTAACGGGCTGCTCACTGAAGCTGAGACCGGCTCTGTTGAAGACGAATTCCCCACAGCCACCCCGGTTCGGTTCTGGTCCAATTCGAGGGACACAGGTACACTTCCCCCACACCTATAGAGACACCACGAGGGCCAGTCCAGCAGAAAACCAGCGAAATACCACCCGGCGATATTTGTCGGAACCAGGTAGAACCACAAAGGTCCAGATAAGAGTTCGTTGAGGTCCAGAGAGAGAGAGAAAAAACACCGGACCTTCGTGCGTCGACTCCCCAGCTCGAGGGGTCACCTGGCCGGCAGGGTGCGCTCAGAGTGACCGATGGGGGGGGGGAGCGGCCGATCGGTCCTGGGCCAAAATATTTTTTTGGACGGTCCCGTCCGGCTCTCTGAGTCACTGAACACCGAATTCGGTTGGAAGGAGGACCAGCTTTAGTCCAGTTCGAAAAAACGGGTCAGTTTGATGATAAAAGACTGCAGAGAAGCCAGAGGGAGCTGCTGTCCATCAGCTCGCCGGAAGTGAAGTGAAGATGATGGTAGATTATTATTGATGATGGTAGATGATCATTGATGATGGTAGATGATGGTAGATGATGATAGATGACGGTAATGATGATGAATGGTAGATGATGGTAGATTATTATTGATAATGGTAGATGATGATCGATGAT